CAATCACCAGTATTTATATATGCACCTTGATTGCATGGTTGATCAATTTCCAACTGAAGAAGTTGGTAGAATTCTTCAATCTTTTTCATCCCTGACTTTAGTGGTTGTGTGTAAATTTGAATAGTTAGCCAACATTAACTGGCCTTCCTTGTAAATTCATGAATATTATTTTGCCACAGATAGCATTGTTTTGTTTTCAAGTTCTGAACTTGAAATGTTCTTTTTGACTGAATGCAATGCCATTCTTCAATTTGTCAATTCTGGCATACTTAGTAAGCCACATGATTGATTCAAAATGGCTAACACCAGTCCATTTCAGCTCACTAATGCCTAGGATACTGACTGTTCTGTGTTCCATTTGATTTTTGACAACTTCCAGTTTTCAAAGATTCATAATAATAAATAAGATTCATAAATTAGAAACAGCTGGAAATATACAATAATAAACAGAACACTGAATGTAAAAATTGTACATTTTTTACATTCAGTGTTCTGTTTATTAATGTATGTTTGCAGCTGTTTCTTATTTTGACTTGTGCCCCATCAGCAAATAAAGATCCCTAAAGCTTTGCTCCCTTCTTGTCTTTAATGTAAACTCTACTTTGAGGAGGCAGCTGTTCCCCAGTTGTGTTTTGAGTGCCTTCCAACTTCAGGGGCTCATCTTCCAGCATTATATAAGATAATGTTATAGTTGTGGTTTATGAGGTTTTCAGTGGTTAACCATTCAGTAGTAGTATGTATGTCCTTCTTCCTAGTCTATTTTAGTGTAGAGACCCCAATGAAACTTAATCCACCGTGGGTGACGCTGCTGGTATTTGAAATAGTGGTGGTGTAGCTTCCAGCATCACGGCAACACACAGGTCACCACTGTACCACAAAGTGACAGTGGGTTCTTCTGGCAGTCTGTGGTATATTCAGTATTCTTCCCCAACACCATAATTTAAAGGCATCAGTTCTTTGTTCTTTCTTATTCATTGTCTCGCTTTCACACACATATTTTTGTTGTTGTTATCTGCCATTGAGTCAGTTCCAACTCATAGTGACCCTCTATAGGAATTTTAAGGAGCAAGTGGTGAGTTTGTACCACTGACCTAGTGGTTCCAACCGACCTTGTGGCCCAGTACATTATCCCACAGCACCACACCAGGACTCCATACATACTAGGCCATTGAAAATTCTGTGGTTTGGGTAAAGTGTACTTAGTATATTTAGTGTACATCTTTGCTTTTTAGTACTTTAAAAAGGCCTTTTACCACAGATTTTCCCAATATAGTATGCCATTTGATTGCTATTTGCATGTATGTTGATTGTGGATCAAGTCATATGAAATCCTTGACAACTTCAATCTTTTCTGAGTTTATCATGACGTTAAGGAGCCCTGGTAGCGTAGTGAATTACAAGCTGTGCTGCTAACTGCAAGGTCAGTTGTTCAAATCTACCAATTGCTTCACGGGAGAAAGATGAGGCTTTCTGTTCCTGTAAAGATTTACAGCCTCGGAAACCCTGTCCAGCGTCACTATGAGTCAGAACTGACTCAGTGGCACACAGCCACTACCAGCCACCACCACCACCACCACCATCACCACCACCAACCACCATCACTATCACCACCACCATCATGATGTTGACTGTTGTCCCAGTTGTGATGCTTGTTTCATACTGAGGTGTAATCCTTACTGAAAGCTGCAGTCTTTGATTTTCACCAATAAGTGCTTCAAGTCCTCTTTGTTTTCAGCAAGCAAAATTTGTCATCTGCATATTGCGGGCTATTGGTGTGTCTTTCTCCACTCCTGATACCATGTTCTTCATCATATCATTCTGCTACTCAGATTATTTGCTCAGTATACAGATTGATTAAGTATGATTAAAGGATACAACCCTGATGCACAACTTTCCTGATTTGAAATCATAAGTATCCACCCCCCTGTTCTGTTTGAACAACTGCTTCTTGGTCTGTGTACATGTCTATGTACAGGTGTTGCCTTAGTACAACATGTTTTTTGTTGTTGTTAAATGTTGTCTAGTTGATTTTGACTCATAGTGGCTCTGCATAGAGTTTCTGAGTCTCTAAGTTTTCATGGGAGCAGAAAGCCTCATCTTTCTCCCACAGAACTGTTAGCAGGCTTGAACTTCAGACCTTGGGGGTTACAGTTCAGTGCTTACCATATGGATCCACCACACTCCCCAATACAGCTTAATTAGTAGTAGAAAATCAGTGCCTGATTAACTATTACTCATGTAAAAAAGTGGTCCCTTGCCAGCCTCATGGGAGCACTCTGTAATTTCCATTCTGATTAGTACCCATCCCCTGTCCAATTTAGACCTCACATAACCATCAATTATTGAATGATGCAGAAGGCATCGAAAGAAGATGGAAGGAATACATAGAGTCACTGTACCAAAAGGAAATGGTTCATGTTCAACCATTTCAAGAGGTAGCATATGATCAAGAGCCAGTGATACTGAAGGAGGAAGTCCAAGGTACATTGAAGGAATTGGCAAAGAACAAGGCACCAGGAACTGATGGAATACAAATTGAAATCTTTCAAGAAAGTGAGGTGGCATAGGAGGCACTCACTCATCTCTGCCAAGAAATTTGGAAGAAAACAATCTGGCCGGCTGATTGGAAGAGATTCATATTTGTGCCCATTCCAAAGAGAGGTGACCCAATGGAATGTGGAAATCATTGGACAATATCTTTGATAGCCCATGTGAGTAAAGTTTTACTAAAAGTAATACAAAAACTGCTACAAGCATAAATTGACAGAGAACTTCCAGAGGTTCAAGCTGGATTCAGAAGAGGCTGTGGAACGAGAGATATCATTGCTGATGTCTGATGGATCTTGGCTGAAAGCAGAGAATACCAGTAAGATGTTTACCTGTGCTTTATTGACTACGCAAAGGCTTTCATTTGTGTGGATCATGACAAGCTATGGAGAAAGTATGAGTATTCCAGAACACTTAATTGTGCTCATGAGGAATCTGTACATGGACCAAGAGGCAGTTGTTAAAACAGAACATGGGAACACTGAGTGGTTTTAAAATTAAGGTGTGCAACAGGGTTGTTTTCTTTCACCATACTTATTCAACCTGTATGCAGATCAAATAATCCAAGACGCTAGGTTATATGAAGAAAAATGTGGCATCAGGATTGGAGGAAGACTCATTAATAACTTGCGATATGCTGATGATACAACTTTGCTTGCTGAAAGTGAAGAGGACTTGAAATAGTTACTGATGAAGATCGAAGAGAGCAACCTCGGTATGGATTGTATCTCCACGTAAAGAAAACAAAAATCTTCACTACTGGACATAAACAACATTCTTACCAACAGAGAAAGATTGAAGTTGTCAAGGACTTCATTCTTTTTGGATCAACTATCAACACTCACGGAAGCAGCAGTCCAGAAATCAAATGACATATTGCATTAGGCAAATCTGCTTCACAAGACCTTTGAAAGTGTTGAAGAGCAAAGATGTCAGCTTGAAGGCTAAGGTGCTCCTGACCCAAGGCATCTTATTTTCATTAACCTCATATGCATGCGAAAGCTGGACAGTGAATAAGGAAGACCGTAGAAGAATTGATGCTTTTGAGTTATACTGTTGGAGGAGAATATTGAAAGTGCCATGGGTTGCCATAAGAACGAGTAGATCTGTTTTGGAAGAAGTGCTGCCAGAATGCTCCCTTGGAGGCCAGGATGGCCAAACTTCGACTCTCATACTTAGGACATATTGTCAGGAGGACCAGTCAAGAAGGATAGGGTGGAGGTTCAGAGAAAAAGAGGAAGACCCCCAGCGAGATGCATTGGCAATGTGGCAGCATCAATGGGCTCAAGCATGGCAATGATAGTGAGATTGGCCCAGGATCGGGCAGTGTTTCGTTCTGCTGTGCATAAGGTCACTATGAGTCATTACCATCTTGATGGCACCTAACAGCAATAATGCTGCTTTGGATATTATGATCTATAATACTTGCCACATGTGTGTACAGGTGTGGCCCCTCTCTCAGCAGTGTCAGCATGAAATTTGTTAGAAATGCAAATTCTCAAGCTCTAGCCTAGGCAAACATTTAAATATCAACGGTAGGTGTGTATTATAAGCATATTCCAATGATTGCCATTGTTCAAAGTAATTTTGGAACTGCTTTACTACTGAACCAAACCCCAACTGTCCAAGTTAATTCTGACTCATAGGGAACTTATAGGACAGAATAGAACTGCTCCCGGAGGGTTTCCAAGGCTGTAAAATCATTCTGAAAGCAGATTGCCACATTTTTCTCTCTCAGAGTATGGACTTTTAAGTTAGCAACCAAATACTTTAACCACTGTGCTCCTTGTTGTTGTTAAGTGTCATCAAGTAGGTTCCCATTCACAGGGACCCTGTATAGGGTATCCATGGAGTCTATGGTAAATTTAAACTGCTAACATTGTTGTCATCTATTAGCGTGTATAAATGTGTACGCACAGATAGATACACGTGTACTCACATTTCCTTTGTCATTTTGCAATATGCTCATTCGTCATTTTGAAACAAATTAGTTTTATCCAATTTGAGTCAAGTCTTTGGCTCAAAATAACTTAAGACTATTTTCAAATGTAAATATTCAAAAGAGATTTGCCAACATTGAAGTTATTCAAAGGAATATGCAGCAGACTGAAGACTTGCTAAAAAGAGGACCAAAAATAGGTTGGCAAAGCATCTTTTGTAGAATGAGAACTACAGTGTCTTTCAGAGCAAGCCATGCAGACTTTTGAGCTGGACAGAAATGTGTTCAGATCCACTTGTACCACTGACTAGCTGTGTTACCTTAGGGATGGGATGAATTTCTCTGAGGCTGATTATCTCTTGTTTGAAGTTAGGAGAGTAACATCTATAAAGTTCTGCGTGATTCCCTGCAGGGCTGCATTCATAGGGCCGTGGACATGCAGCATTAGTTTGAACATGCCTGATTGTGTTGTGCCTTCATAGCTTTCACACTCTTTCCCTTGTGCTCCCTGCAGGAACGATTCCAGGTGAAGAATCCTCCTCATACGTATATTCAGAAGCTCAAAGGCTATCTGGATCCAGCTGTAACCAGGAAGGTAAGATGGATTTGTGTCCACTCTTTGTTGTTACTTCCTCATGGGCTGGTAGAATCTGCCTGCTTGGAAGGCTTTTCTTCCTCTGCATGACAGCCTCTTCCCAAGCCTCCAGGAAGGACCATCTTTAGAGACTGACAGCATAAGAGAAAAAACCACCATCTTTCTCCTGTGACGATGTGTTTATAAGTATTTGCCTGCAAAGAGAGTCACAAACCTCCAGTAGTGATCCAGTCATTGCCATTCCCACCTACACAGGACTGAGAGTCCCATCCAGAGGTGTTTCAAACCAGAAAACCAAATCCATTGCTCGGGAATCAGTTCCGACTCATAGCGGTCAGAGTGTTTAGGCCCCTCAACAAGCAAGCCTCACAAAGGGAAGACTTGTCTTTCATGCTTTGGTGCATTTCCAGAGACCTTGAAAAATCACTGGGGCTTTGTCATCCCAGCTGTGCGTTCACATCCTGTGTTGATGCGTTTAGCAATATCTCCCGCCCCAACCCCTGCCTCCCAGCCCCAGGAAGGTAAGGAGAGAATAGCTGATTCCATTCTCAACCACTTCTCTCCTTTTACAGACAAGGCCTGCTTTGTGTAGCCACACAATTGGTTTAAACCAATGCCTTGTGGTAAAGCATGTAGCCTGGCAGAGTCCTGTGGCCCAGGGATGGTACAGGGCATCATCCTTCACAGAAAGGGTCTCATCACCAGATTGCCCTTGTTCTTCGTTGACCTTCCACAACTTCTGTTTTGAAAGCCACAGCAAAAATATCATGAGCTACATTCCCTCTGTTTTCAGCATGAGAATCATCAGAAATGAATGACATGTTTTTTCTGGTTAACTGCTTTTTTCCAGGGCTCTCTGTTTTCATTTTTGTTTTTTAAATCCTCCTTTTCTCTATTATCCATCATCGTCTATGAAAAAAAAAAAAAAGTCAAGCATAAAAGAACAGTAATTTATTTCCTTTTGGAAATGTCCTGGCCCATTGCTCTGTGGGTAGTATGTGCTAATGGAGCAGTATTGATGAAAATGAACTGCAAGATCATCACTGTAGGCTCAACACTGGGTGTGATTTGAGCACAGCATACATAGTCTCTAAAACTGAATCTGTTGACATATCCATATTTTTTCCTCTTCACAGCACAGCACATACATGTTCTTTTTTTTTTTTAAAGAGCTGCTGTCAGCCCCCCTAAATGAGACCCTGCTTAATTATTAACCCTTTAGGGGATTTCTTCCTCTAACACTGAAGCAGCTTCAATGTTATCAGACAAGAGAGGGTTAAAGGAGGACACACATATATGCAACAGAGACCACAAGGCTCTATTTAAAATACTTTCTGAAATCATCAAGTTTGTAAGCCTGCAGGCTGGCAGCTAACTCAAACCCTAGCATTAGGCACATACTGCCCCTCCCAGTTTAGAATTACGGAAATGCCGATGTTTGTACACAAGTCTGAAATCTCAGTTCAGCCTCCCACATAACTGGTCCCTTGAACAGAATACATTCCATCCCAAAACATTTTTTAAATTCTGAAGAGAAAGGAGAAAAAAAATGTAAACTACCAGACAGTGCTTCTTAAGACTCCAGGCTCCAACTCCCATAAAGAGAAAGATGTTACTTCCTCCTGGCATGATCCCACTTCTTTGGATCCATTATTTCTGATTTAAGGCAAAGAAAATGAAACAAAAAAGCTTCTCAGAAAGAATTTTACTCCCTCACAAATAATAATGAGAGCTATGACAAAAGATGGCCTAGTGGGCTGACCTTCATTCTGAAATCACTGCTCTGGACTGTGTGTTCCCCTGAAAGGCCTTGTTTGGTCTGTGCCTACCTCACCTTTCAAGATTGATCATTCATATCTGAAGAAAATAAAATGGATTTTGAATCATTCACCCCTGCTTTAGTAAGATTTGTGTCAGGAGCTGGCAGTAGAAGATAATCTGTCCTACACAGCATAATTATAAGGCTTAAATGGGCAAGGGGGATTTTTTTTGGAATAAAGCATGCTTGCAGCTCAAATGAGTTTAAGATTCTCAACTGTATTTTGGTTGGAGGGATGGGGAAAGGGATTTCAAATCAGGGTTGTAAATTTCAGCCAAACAGTCCAGGCTAAACCATCTATCTTTAACTGCCTCTGGAGTCCTCAGAACACTTGGTTCATCACTCTTTTGTTGGAATTGAACAGAAGATACTTAATTTACTCTCTCTTTTTTTTTTTTTTTTTTATGAAGGTTCTTAAGCATGCTCACATTCTATTTAGATTTCTTCTGAATAGTTTAAAAATGAAACCCTCTAGGGCAGGGAAGGAATAACCTAAATTAGATCTCTCTGTGGCCAGAACTCACCAAACCAGCCTCCTCTTTCAGTATTGGTTTATTAGCCTGCACATTGAGGGATGTGTTCCTGTCTCGCATGTAAAGAGGCTACAGACCTTAGAGAAAGGAGTCTGGGCCTCTGTTGCTTCCTTCCTAAAAGGAAACGTACTGTATGCATCTTCCCAGGCTCAGCTGCCTTCATGAGTTCATCCCTGGGTAGGGAAGTGAGAATGCTGCTGACTTTCTAATGGATGCTACCTGGTTTGTTCTTCTTCCTAAAGTTTTTATTACAGACTGAGTGAAAGTTTGCAGGGCAGATCATTAGTTTTACGTTCAACAAATCATATACTTTCTTTCAATACAATGATTATAATCCCCTCCATGTACCATCAGTTGACATTATTTTTCTCTCTTCATTTTAGCTCCTTTTTTTTAACACTCGGGCATATATAATAATTTACACCACCAAAGGGCACATTCTGCAAGTCTGCCTCCTGGCCACCAGCTCTCAGTCCCTCTCTTCCCATGAATCTAGAGTCCTCAGCAGCTCCCTCTCTCTATGGCCCCATGTCTGCCTCCATCTCTGGTGTCACTGCTTCTTCTTTGATGTGTTTTAAAACATTCTGGTTACAGTGTAGAAGTACAAAGTGTTAGCACTCATTATTTACTTGTTGGAGAAGTAGATGCCACTGCTTGGTTTTCTCTAATCCAGAGCCCGGCTGAAGATTGTTTAATTACTGAGATAATATAAAATGGGGGGAGGGTGGGGAGAGGGGAGCCAATTTAGTGTTACCTTAGTTATCATGTACTTTCAAAAAGTAAATGTTGGCTGTTATCTTTGTTATTACTATTACCTCATGGAGTTTTGCTTCAGTTACTTTGGCTATGCAGTGCTTAGTCCTTGAGCAGAACCGTTTTTATACTGTTTCATCCTCCCTGCTAACCTGGGTGCCCTTGTGCTTGATGATATATCTAAGGGACAACTGTGCTCTGGGAAACATAGTGCAAAATTAGGGGAGCAGCAGCAAAGGCAAAGACCAGCAGTGAACGAGACCAAACTCTCTGCACTGAATTAGGGCTGTATAGCACAGAAAGAAGAATGAATTTCTAAAGGCCGCATGCGCACGTAGTCTCTGTATTAGTTTCCTTTGGGTGCTGTAACAAAGTACCACAAGCTGAGTGGTTTTAGATAACAGGTATTTATTGTTGTAAAGTAGACTGGAAGCTAGAATTTTGAATTCAGGGTGTCAGCAAGGCCAATATGTCTTGTTATGGTTCTGGGGACAGGACCTTTCTTTGATCTTTCAGTTTCTGATGGTGGTGATGGTGGTTGTATGTTACCAAGTTGATTCCACCTTACAGTGAGCCTGTATAGGTTTCAGAGGCTGAAATCTTTACAGGAGAAGGTCTCAGATATTCCTTGGCTGCAACATAACTCCAATTTTGCTTCCATCATAAGATCATATAGTTTCTGCTTTTGTCTACCTCTCTTCTTTTATAAGGAATCTAGTCATAAAGGATTAGGACCCACCTTACCCCAGTATGACCTCATCCTGGATGACGGATAACATCTTCAAAGACTCTTATTTCCAAACAATGTCATGTTCATAGGTCCCTGAGATTAGGTCTTCAACATAACCTTTTTAGCAGACATGGTTCAACCTAGAACAACCTCAGACTTGTGACCCTGACTTAAGAATGTCCACTCAGGAGCAGCCAGCCCACCTGGAAGTAATAACAGGTTACAATGGAGTATCCTAAATGCAGAGAAAAGTTAGTAGACTACAAGGTAACCCCAAAGAAAGTTAACACTCCACAACATATCATATAAACGAATTCCCAAGCAGAACAAACAAACAGAGAAACTAGGAAGAAACCATCAAGAAACAACTCAAAGAACTCAAATCCAACTGGAAGTAATAGTTTTCTAAGCTATGTAACCACAGGTTCAAAAGAATACCCTTCAGCAGAAATCCAAAGGAGCTATAGATGAATGGCTGTTATTTTTGAAACCTTTCAGAAGAGGTAAGCAAGGTCCCAGGGGGCCTGCCCATGCTTAGTGCAGAGTTCCATGGCTTTTCAGGGAACTGATAAATCCTCGTTTTCAGCCCCTCTTGTTTTCATCTGTCTCTTGGAAGTTCTTCTCCCAAGCTGTGGTGATAATCATTATTAGAGGCTTAGAGCTGGATTGTACAATTGTGACAGACAGCATCAGGAGATGGATGCTAACATCTTGAGCTAGAGTAGTGTAAAGGTGGTTTGGGTCTTCTTCAAAGTCATCACACATGAAATTTCCTTCTTTCATAGTAGTGTGAGACTTTAGTCATGCAAAAACAAAAAAACTCAACAGAAAAATGTGTACCAAGGAACTTATGTGAAACATAAATTTTTGTTATCTTGGATATTATTTAGAGTCCGGAGAACAGAGAGATGAACATATTTATTATCCGAGATGAATTTGTTGGAGAAAGAAGTCCTGAGGGAGTGCTGGAAGGATAAGTGGCATTTGGATAGGCAAGAGGGTGAGAAAAGGCATTCCATATTGGGAATGGTGGTGTGTTACAGAGGATAAGAACCTTCCAAGCGAGAACTCTGGGCCAGAGGTTACTGTGAATGCTTATTTTTGGAACAGGTTGTGTAGAGAAAAAAAAAAAATGAATGTAGCAGACCTGAGACTGTTATCTTTAGAAAGGCTTGTTTGCAAGGTTCATCTATGGTTGGTATCAGGAAACTTGAATTTTGGACCTATCATTCTCTGTTATGAATGTCTCATTGTGCCTACATCGTTTCTGCAAATGATATGGCTTATGTTCAACACTTGCTTCTTTCTAAGAGTCTAGTATTTTGGTATGTCCCAGGGACAGGGTGGGTACCTATATGACCAGCCCCCAATAAAAATCTAGGGCACTGAGTCTCTAATGAGCTTCCCTGGTACATACATTTTACATATGCTGTTACAGTTTTTTGGTGGGGAATTAAGTTTGTTCTGTGTGGCTCCTTTGGGAGAGGACTCTGGAATCTTGTGCCTGATTTCGTCCAGACTTACCACCTCTTGTAGCGTCTCTTTTTGTTAATTGTGCTTTGTATATTTCACTGTAATAAATCGTAGCTGTGAGCATCGCTATCTGCTGAGTCTTCTGAGCCCTCCTGCATAGATCTTCAAACCTGTGGTGGTGTTGGTGACCCTGCCACTTAGATATGTTGGTGACTGTTGCTCCATATATGAAGTAAGAAACAATACTTTTACCAACAGGTACTTATTATATGAAACAAGTACTTATTGCCTAAATACTCATAAGTGGGTATTTATGATGAGAAAATTTATATGTATTGCCAACAAAAAAGAAATATAAGAGAATTTACTTTTGAAGTGAGCTATTTTTCATACTGTGTTAAACTTATTACACTATAATTAAGCTGCAGTTACAGCAGTTATTTGGTAAAATATGTTTTGTGAGAATATGTTTTTTTGAATTACAGAAATTCAGGCGGCGTGTTCAAGAATCCACACAAGTACTAAGAGAACTGGAAATTTCTTTAAGAACCAACCATATTGGGTAAGTGTGTCCCTTTGACATTTTAACCTTAAGACTTTTAGAAAACTTAGAAAGTAACAGAATCATATTAAGAGAAATACTTTTTGTTCATTGTAAGTTTAAAAAACTGAGGTTTCGATGGTAACTTTTATTAGAACTTGAAGTGTTTGCTGTACAAGAATCAGTTGAATCTAGACTGGTAGTTGTTTATTTGGGGAATTTATAACAACTGTGTATATCTTGAGTGTCCTGGTGTGGCACTGTATGATAAGCACTGGATTGTTAACCACAAGGTCAGTGGTTCAAACCCACCAGCCGCTCCTTGGTAACCCTATATAGGGTTGCTGTATTCCACAACTGACTCAGTGGTGGCACTAACGAACACAACAGCATGTAACTTTCTGCATGAATGCAATACTTGTGGGCAGTTCATGATAATGGCTTGGTTTCATGTGAAAACCAGATATGTCCAGCTGGAATGTACACATTGGAGGTCACCTGGTAAATCTCTCATCCTTCACTGTTGCTCTCCAGGCTGGTTAGTTAAGACTACTTTCCTCAGTTCCCTGGAGTTAGAGAGCTGGTGGTACAAAGATTAAGTGCTGTGGTTAGCTCTGTTGCTAACCCAAAAGTTGACAGTTTGAACCCACTAGCCACTCCACTGAACAAAAGACCTGTTCCCATGTAGACTCCAAATCCTTCGTCACTGAGTCATTTCTGACTCATAGCAACCCTATAGGACACGAGCAGTACTGCCCCCATATGTTTCTAAGAACTGTAAATCTTTTTGCTCCAAAGTAGCTGGGTGTGTGTGTGGTGGGGGGGGGGGGGAGTTAAATTTCAGTTAGCAGGCAAGTGCTTAATGATTGTACTATCAATGCTTCTTTCCAATAAAGACTGTAGCTTCAACTCTGATATGTAGTGTCCCTAGAGTTTTGTTGTGGTGCTATGGGACAAAGCACTGGACACTAGGTTGGTGTGAACCATAAGGTCAGTGGTTCAAACTCACCAGCTGCTCCTTGGAAAACCCTATACAGGGTCACTATGAATTTGAACTGACTCGACGGTACTTAACTACAACAACATATAGTGTCCCTATACATTGTAGAAGTCCTGGTGTGGCGCTGTAGGATAAGCACTAGACCATAAAGTCAGTTTGAGTGGCAAGGTCGGTGGTTCAAACTCACCAGCTACTCCTTGGAAACCATATACAGGGTTGCTATGAGCCGATATACCCATTCAACATATATATTAACAAAATATATTGATTTAATCGATTTAACAGCACAAACACCACAGTCCAGAAGGGGATCAATACTTGAATGTTGTCAATCTGACCTAGTCCTTGCACTCATAATCTGTTCTCACTCTCTACTTCATATATCTCAAGCATTTAGGACTGTGTATTATAAATTTACGGAGCTTTGGTAGCGTAGTCATTACGAATCGGGCTGCTCATCTCACGGGCAGCAGTTCAAAACTACCAGCTGTTCCGCTGGAGAGAGATGAGGCTTTCTGCTCCCATAAAGATTTACAGCCTCAGAAACACCCTGTACAGATTGCTATGAGTTGGAACCGACTCCACGTCACACAACAACAATTATAAATTTACTCTGAAAATAAAGTTGGGGAATTGCTAAACAAAGATTTATCTTTTTAAAAAATTTTTTGTTATAACTGAGTGAAGATTTACAGACTAGATCATCAGTTTTACACTCAATAGATCATATACATGTTTTCATCTCAATGATGGCATACCCTCTATGCAACAGACCATCAATTGCTCATATGCAAGCTCAGACTGAAACTGAAAAAAAATTAAAACAAATCCATGAAAGCAAAAATATGACCTCGAGTGTGTCCCACCTAAATGTTGATACCATCACAAGAACAGATTCAATGTACTGGACACTAATAACTAAACACCAGGAGACTTGTGGGATGACATCAAGGACATCATACAGGAAGAAAGCAAAACGTCATTAAATGATAAACCAATAAAAGGATTAAAGTCCTGCTGCAGAGCTGTAGGATAAGCACTGAACTCTTAACTTACATGGTCAGTGGTTCAAGCCCACCAGCCGCTCCTTGGAAACCCTATACCAGATTGCTGTGAGTGGGAACCAACTCAATGGTACTTCACAACAACAGTAACACCCTTAGTCCCATCACAACACTGACAGGAGATTCCCAGGGAATGAGCTGCAACACCTTTTTTTTATATTATAAGAGATAAAATGAGAGAAGCCAACAAAGACTAGGGACCTACTACCACCAAGAAAGAGGAGCCGAGAGTGGAGCGCATCCTTTGCATCTGGAGTACCTGCCCTGTGAAGCTCCTACATCAAGGGGAAGACTGATGCCAAGACACATGGAGTTCCCCTAGGAATGCTGGGTCTACAAATGCTGAAAGGAGACCAGGACCTTTTCTCCAGAACCAGTGCTCTGAATTTGGACTTCTAGCCTCTAACCTGTGAGAGAATAAATTTCTGTTTGTTAAAGACAAAAAAAAAGTCATTAAAAATACAGGAAAGAAAAGGCCAAAATGGATGTCAGAAGAGATACTGAAACTTGCTTTAAATACATTGAAGCTAAAGCAACTAGAAGAAATGATGAAGTAGAAGAGCTGAGCAGAATATTTTAAAGGAAACCGCAAGAAGACAAGGTAAAGTATTATAATGAAATATGCAAAGGCCTGGAGTGAGAAAACCAAAAGGAAAAAAGCATGTTCAGCATTTCTCAATCTGAAAGAACTGAAGAAAAAAATTCAACTGACTTGTAATATTGAAGGATTCGATCTCAATGTAAGAAAACAAAAATACTCACCACTGGACCAATAAACAACATTCTTATCAATGGAGAAAAGACTGAAGTTGGCAAACACTTCATTCTTCTTGGATCAATTATCAACACTCATGGAAGCAGCAGTCAAGAAATCTGCTGCACAAGACCTTTTTAAAGTGTTGAAGAGCAAAGATGTCAGCTTGAGGACTAAGATTCACCTGACCTAAGCCATGGTATTTTCATTAACCTCATATGCATGCGAAAGCTGAACAGTGAATAAGGAAGACCATAGAAAAATTGATGCCTTTGAGTTATGGTGTTGGAGGAGAATATTGAAAGTGTCATGGGCTGCCAAAAGAACCAGTAGATCTGTGCTGGAAGATGTGCAGCCAGAGTGCTCCTTGGAGGCCAGTATGGCCAAACTTCACCTCTCATACTTAGGACATATTGTCAGGTGGGACCAGTCGCTAGAGAAGGATATCATGTGTGGTGAGGTGGAGGGTCAGAGAAAAAGAGGAAGACCGCCAGTGAGATGGATTGGCAAATTGGCAGCATCAGTGGGCTCAAGCGTCGCAACAGTAGTGAGGTTGGCCTGGGACTGGTCAGTGTTTCGTTTTGTTGTTCAAAGGAGCTCTGGTAGCGTAGTGGTTACGAATCGGGCTGTGAACCGCAAGGTCACCAGTTCGAAACTATCAGCTGTTCTGTGGGAGAAAGATTTACAGCCTCGGAAACCCTGTACAGGGTCTCTATGAGTCGGAACTGACTCCACGACACTTAACAACAACAACGTATGCATGTGAAAGTTGGATAATGAATAGAAAGGACTATGGAAGAATAAATGAATTTGAATTGCGGTGTAGTTGGAGAATACTGAAAGTATAATATTAAGCTGCCTGGAGAACAAACAAATCTACATTTGAAGGACTACCAGAATGCTTCTTAGAAGAAGTATTTCATACTGTCAGGAGGGATCATTCCCTGGAGAAGGACATCATGCTTGGTAAAGTGGAGGGTCAGCAAAAAATAAGATCCCCAACAAGATGGATTCATGACAACAACAATGGTCTCAAACATAACAGCATTTGTGAGGATGGCACAACACCAGGCAGTGTTTTGTTGTGCATAGCAGTTGCTATGAGTCAGAACTTACTGGCCATCACTAACAGGAAGATGGGATAACCTGTCATGTTTTTCACCTTGAGAATGAGATGTTCTAGTTCAACATTGATAATGACTTTGTCTCAGAAAATGAGCTATCGGACATTGAGCCATAGAACCATGATTTTTAAACTGGCAGAAAAGTTAAAGATTGCCTAATTCCTTGTTATACAGATAAAAAAGTAAAGGACCAGGGAAGGTGAGCTACTTGCATGCAGTCTACAGCTGTAGAGCCAGGTGCTTTGGCTTAAAATGCTGTATTCGTTTTCCTACGTAGCTTTCTCTAGCATGAAAGGAAATAAGATAACCAAGGATTTGGGATGAAAGCAATAAAGCTTATCTGTTGGGGGTGAAGGTGGTGGTGATTTAATATAGTTGGGCATCCAAATGTGGGAAATTCAAATAGTTTCTAATATTTATGGATCAGAAGTTCAATTCCATTAGAGGAATTCCAGGTAGAGCCAAACCCTATGCTGTTGGTTCTTCTTAATTGAGAATGGTTCAGTGAGTTGAAGCCAAGGTTTCTACAAACTGTCAAAAAGTGTTTCCTTAAGCATTGCTGAAATAATGTGAAATTGACCATCAAATGCCAAGACACAACCCTCATTTTCAATACAAAGTTGGCAGAATCAAAGAGCCCTATTTGGGTTGAAGCCAGTGCAATCTGCATGCAATTGGTGTGGTTTGTTGTTTAGAATACTGTAGGCATTCTTTCATTTCTTCCATCTTCAACAGCTGAAAATTTCCCTTACCCACCTTCTGTGTGAAACACTTTGGAAACTTTGACTTTAGCAGACAAAAAATCATGGTGATTGTATGTACCCAATGACTACTAAAAACTTATATGGAATGAAAGCGCTTACCAGAGTTTTGATCTTTCTGGCTTTTCTTTTTAGAAGAAAATCCAGACCTGAAATAAGACTCTTCATTATGGAAACCAACTTGATTAATCTCATTTGCTTGGAAAATCTACTGAAGAATTAATCATTAATGATAAAAATAATGAATTATCGCAGTGAGAGGGATGTTGGAATGCAAGGTGCTATATAAATAAGATACATAATTGCATTGTACGTTTT